GAGATTAAAAGAAATGTTAACATCTCGCAGTATTCGTCTTCTTTCGGTTCTAACGAATTGACTAAGAACAATCAAATCATACAAAATTTCATCTTTCTCTGATTGTGGATCATTACAAATAATGGATGATGCACAAAATGCGTGCATGAAAAATGTTATTTTTTCAAAAGAATAATTAACTACAGGGACTTTCGGAAAGGGATTGGGGGTGGGTGGGGTTGCAGGTAGGGTTTAGTTGCAAAAAGGGTCTTTCTCACAACAAAATAAAAAAAATTATATTACTAATGCTCTGTCAGATGTATGTATGGGTTTGTTCATTAGTGTGTGTGTGTGTGTGTATATAGGATGATTCACATTAACGGGTCGCTGTCATCTTCCCAATGTTGAAATATTGCTTGTTCATATTCATGTTGTGTCTGTTCGTGATACTGTAAATATTGTTCTGATCTGTACATACGATGATGATCCTCATAATCATGGTACCGTGCCTCCATATGATCATCAAGTTGTTCATATCGTGTGTATTGTGTACTGGAACTGCTTTGATCCAGTGCCGCCTCAGATTGAGCTCGATAAGTTGAATATCGTCCTAACCATCTGTGCGTATTGGGCGAGCGTGCAATGGAACGCCTTCGCCAACGCAGTGCACTCTCTTCGATTTCCGTGCGTTCCTGATCCATTTCTTCCTCATCGTCGTCGTCGTATTCTGTCACTTCTGTGGTCCGAATAATCGGAATGGACGATGTGTTGTTTTTGTTGTTGGTGCCGGCAGTAGTAGTAGTGGTGGTGGTCGTCGTGGTGGCCTCAATGTTTTCCCTTTCTATAACCGTGCGGGTCGATGTTGATGCGTACAGATCCCGTGCATGTGCGACACGCGACGGGCATTCAATCACAATTTGAGTTGAATCGTATGATGGTGGTGAAAACGCGGACGCTGAGGAAGGAGACAAAATAACTGGTGGTTTTTCCATTCGGCGGTGCCTGAGGTACATGTCTTCCTGATGTCGATGATGCTGGTGATAGTGATGACGATCGGCACTGGAGCGTCTGATAGCTTCTAATTCACTGGATTCTATACTGTTATTTGTGTTACTTGTAGTTTGTAAGCGGACTCCGATCGGCGGTAACCGGTAGTCTCGAGATGTCTCGTCTGTTACGGAAGACGGGGTGACCGGGATTGTACTGGGAGCGACCAGATGAACGTGAGTAGCCAAAACACGATGACCCAGATGTGTTTGTGCTTCGATCGGCATTGAAGTGATCCAGTCCATTGGATGTAATTCAGCTTGCAAACGTATCCAACGCGCTTTACGTGCGGTTAACAACGAACACCATCGCGTTGGCAGGAAACGATGCGGGTGTTGTGCACATGGCTGTTCGTCCACTAATTCACCTCGTTCGTTGATTGTGGGAAATTCCGGTCTGGCGTGCCATTCAGCTGCAACCTCACCTGTCTGCCAGTTAAATAATCCAAGCCTGGCAGCTTCCAATGGCTCCAGCCAATCGCTCGGTTCTCCACCTGGTCTGATAGATGTAACACGGAACACACGACAAGAGTAGGTCTCTTCCAATGAACTGCTATCACTCTCATCGGAGTCAACTGGTTCGATTTGAATCAAACCACGTCCGGTAGCCTCTTCCGTAGAAATCCAGGTATTTGTTTCTCGATCCAGAATGAGTGGTTCTCCTGATCTGATATCTATCACACCACGCCGTAACGCTTCCTCAATGCCATATTGTCTTGCTTCTCGAGTGTCCGTGTAGTTCGTAATGCGTACAGGTCGCCAACTAAAACTGACACGTTCAATGAGAAGCAAGTTCGGTGCATTGCTCGGGTCATACGGATCCGTATCGGAATCACTTTGGTTCAGCCGAACCAGACCACGTGCTACTGCCGCCTCCAGTGGGATCGTGAGACCAGTTTGTGGATTTACATAGACATTCCTATCGCCTAGTTCAACCCACCCGGCTCGTACGGCTGTACTGACCGGTGCGAAAAGACCAGTGATCGGGCTGGCCACTTCTTTAATCGAGTCAAACCATGATACGCGATTCGCGCGTCGCGCTTCCAGCAATTCGTATTGAGCAGTACGTTGTCGAACACGGCATCGTATGGCTTGACGATAGGAGCTGCACACGTGATTGTTTAGGGAAGAGGGCGGACAGGAATGGAGATCACGATAGAGAGAGGGAGGGAGAGACAAGGTAGGTCACATTAGTGAGATTTCGACGGATGTGAAGAAAAAAGTCTGCTTTGAATAAATAGTGTTAGTTAAGTAAATGATACCAACATGAAAAAGTGCAAAAAGGAGCAGTTCATACATTTTTGATCAAGTATCATTAGGAAGGTCAACCGATTTGATTTGATTTCCATCTATTCGGTTCAGCTTTCAGTTTGCAAAACCAACCAATTACCGTGCGTTTTCGTGCGTCAGTTTTCGTTACTGTTCTTTGACAGCTACCCATTTGGATAAAAAAACAAAAGAAAGAATGGAATGCTCCGAACAGATTAAAGTGGAAGATAGAATTCAGATGGATTCAGGTTAGAAGGATAGTGATTAGATGCAAGAATGCCACTGTTTGTGATATTCAATGAATATAACCACCGGTTACCATGATCTCGGGGTCCCCATTTAGGAAGCCTATCGGGACCTAAGTGACCCAGTCTCCTGATTAGGGTTTCCATACCCACATATCAGGTTTGAGTTTGACCACCCTTAGATTTATTCCACCTACTACCTGCCTCCGCAAATATCGCGCACCGTGACAACCTATTTGGTGACATGCGTAGCACATGTCCGGACCAGCGTAATCTATGGAGACCGAACATGTATTCAAGTAGGCGATCGTGATTACCTAACCTCATCACTGCTCGTCCGGCTGCCCCATCACACTCGTGCAATGCGACGTAGACAGTGATGCTCAAACACCGACATTCTATTGATATCCTGTTCCCGTAATGGCCAAATCTTTGCACCGTAAAGCAGAACTGGCCAAACTGCTGCAGCATAAAGTGGACTCTTCACAGACAGCCGGATGTCGCGACGGCGCCACAAATGTTTCAAATTGGCAAACCTTAATCTAACCTTCTGTATACGAGCGACACTTCGTCCGTGATGCGTCCACCAGGTGCCCAACTAATAAAACTTGTCTATTTACTGTACTGCTTCTCCAGTAAGAATTAGACTGGGAGCTGGACCAACTCAGTCCTGTAAGAACACTTTAAATTTGAGGGTGCGAAACGCATACAGAACATGGCTATACTAGCACTGAAACTATCCAGGACGACTTTTAACTCACCTGGATCATTCACTTAACACTACAATGTCGTCTGCATAATCTAGATTAGACGAGTTTTCACCTGGGAGTAAAGCGATCCCACTATCATCGCACGAGGATAGGGCTATTTCCATAGTCATATATGACAAAGTTAGATTAAAAACGAAGAGAGAGAGAGAGGAAGAGCAATGAACGACGATGAACGACGCTTTATGTCGTGAACTCGGGAGAAAGGGTGCCTTAGTCTTGGACTCAGCTTTGGCCTTGAGTATGAAGGGATCGGGTAATTGAAATATACTCCTTGAGCACAACATTCAGGGAAACGCAGTGCCAGAGTTTACAGCGATCGATTGAGTCAAAAGCCGCTTTCAGATCGAGGAAGATAGAAATGGTGGGTCTACGAAAGGAGTGTTTCTGTTCTATAATTTCGCGAAGGGTGAAAACATGGTTGAGACCACTTCGGTCGTCTAAAATCGAACAAAATCGTCTCGTGATCATGAGGGTGTTGGTAAAGATGGGTCACTCTCATCCACCTCTCTTTGTCACAAGCATAACGCGTAATCTGCTCTGTGTTCACAGAACTTGCTCAATCGGGAATATTTTCGCAAATCATAAGGACGCTTTTTCTGCGCCTTTCCAGATTCTTTTTTAAACTTTTGCATGGAAGAAGTTCGAGTGAAACTGTATGGAATTACTAGCTATATACAAAGGCGTAGACTCGTTTATATTAAAACTTGATAGGGCGTTTTTTTTTAAATTTGATACAGTGGATTATAAAGTGTTACTTACTCCTGGGATAATTGCTCCGGGGAATACGATTCTGTTACCAGTAATCCCGATCGATCGTAGGTGATTTGGCTACGATAATCCACACTCTGACTGATCTCTTCCTCAGTCGTGTCAATATGAATCTCATATGTGGTTGGATGAAGTTTCGTGGTCGATTCAGTCATATCCCAGTCCAGTAGATCAGTCTGTGTTCGGGCAGTCCTAGTTCCGGATGGACATGTGATTCCATGCAGTGGTATATCCTCGGTCTGTGTTTGAGAAAATTCGGTGCTTGGGATAACGGAAACTTGTGTCTCGGCTATTCGGCCTTGTCGATAATGCAAACTATACCTGTCTTTGGCCGATAGTGTTTGCTCTTCCTCTACTGGGAACAAACTGACTGTGAGGCCGACATCAGCTCGCTGAACCGGGACGGGGCTGACTCCAATGCCAACATCGCGACTGTTTTGTGCAGTATCACGCTTCGGAATTGATTCGAACGAAGTTTGTGTGTGCGAAATGGATCCAACTGTCGATCCAGACATGTATGTGGGTCGTGCAACCGATTGAGATCGAGAATAAATTGATTTNTTCATAAGAACATCTCGACTCAGAACAATACCTGACTCGAAGTCGACACTATGAGTAGCGTCCGAGTCACCATGATCCGGTTTATTGTAGCCAAATAGATCGTCCACAACTGGCGACGGTATGTCCCTCACAACTCCAGATAGATCACACTGAACGAAATCGTCTATCATGCTGAGATGTGCGGGCGGATGTTGCGGAATCGGAGGGCTTGGAAGACACTGCACGGCAACATCACGTAGCGTTTCACTTCGTAAAAATTCAGAAGATGGAACAGACTTAACCGATAGAGGAGGGCTGACAAACTCGGAGTCATATTGACAAGCATGATCGCAGTATAACAATGGGTGTACTGTCACACAACTACCAATATCCTGTGTCGATCTAATGAACAGTGAACTGTCGAACCCAACTGAAGAAGTCATCGAAAAGCCTTTACAATCAATTGCGACATTTTGTGTGCACAAACAACATTCCGAAGAAGAATCAATGTACAACGACGCATCTGAGGGTGGCTGTGGAGATGAAGAAGAATCACCAGAAACGGCAACGGAAACAGAAGCACGAACTCGTTCGCAGGCCGAGGAACACAAACGACCTATCAGCAACGACCCAATGGGAACAAACTGACCAGGAGGCACACGCGGCGAAGGGCCGAAAATTCCGTAATGTGAGGTGTCATCGCAAAGCATCGCGAGAAACTTCTGAGAACTTGTGTCGTTCGAATGCGAAAATATAGAAGGTGAGAGGAAATGCACGGATTGCTGTAGCAGGTTGGTCATTGTTGTTTGTGTGTCTTGTTCCATGTGTTTTTGTATGTACGCAGTGTTGGTTAGTAGTTCGGGTATTGTGTGTGTTTTTGTTTCCGTTTGTGCTTGCATTTGTTTGATTGGTGCGGCTTGTTGTATCATTTGTGTGGTCACTTCGACGATTGGTGTTTGTATTTGTTTGATCGTGTGTTGTGTGG